TCAGCCTCAATGTAGTGAATCTTACCCAGTAGGCCAGAAAGGAAGTGGATAACAGTGTGGCAAACCTCCATTTTGGGAGTGTAAGCTAGGGAAGTAGCCATCTTGAGTGAGGATAGCTAGAAGATGGGAGGAGTTTGAGGTCTCCTGGGATTGGCTAGAGCAGAGGGGAGGAGCCAAGTCTTAGGAGGGAAAAGATTTCAGCTTCTGTGGAGATAAGAACTGGGAGCTGGTGGGAGAAGAAGTGTTTTAGAAACTGAGTTTTCAGGGAGAGAGCGTCTGTGTCAGGCAGGGCTGATTAGCTGACAGTAAAGGTCAGACGGCAGCCTGATTTCTTGTGGGAGAATAGCACAAGAGAGTAGCTCTCTAGGCTGAGTTAGTTAGCAGGAAGAACTCTGGGAGGAGTTAGCTGATAACTCAGGGGACTACCTAGGATAGGTTAGTCAGAAACTCATTACTATTTCTCTGAAGGAGAGTGAGGGATTTTTGTTACGAGCAGCTAGATCTGTTTGATTAGCTCTGTCTGTAACTAAGTGAAGGAACTTATTTCAAGCAACCATCAAGCTGTAGTACTTTTGTAACAAGTCAAGCGTTTTGTGCCTCTCTGAAGTAGTTAGTTGTCTGTTCTTATAAATAAATCTTTTTCTATTTAACTTTCAAAAAGGTCTCTATCGTTCCTCAATCTATCATTAATCTATCATTACGCCTCCTCCAAGAAGCTCCCCATTGCAAAGGGCCTCCTGTAGTCATCCTGCATTCTTTCCTTCTTCTCAGGCCCGCAAAACCTACCGGGGGCCTGGGGCTGGCAGTAGTCGCGCAGGTCCTCCAGCTCCCGGCAGACCAGGTCGAGCACCAGCTCCCCCTCCAGGCTCCCGCTGGCGCTTATCATGCGCAGCTCCGCTTCCACGCAGCGCCGTGCCTTGGCCCCAATGGGCCTCTGCCCGTCCACCAGCACCGCCGCGCACACCACGGCCCCTCCGTGCTCGTAGGAGATTGGCGGGGTGTCACTCCATCCACCTGCAAGGCAACGAGGAAGGAGGTCAACAAACATCACCATCAGCCTCGCCCTCCCCAAGATCCCTCTGCCATGCACCCGCCGGATGCTCTTGCTGGTGCAACCTTCTTCAAGCCTCCCCTAGTGATTATGATGTAATATAATATAATAATAATAAGATATTATAATTATATATTTTATATTGCATGTAATTTCTTCTTTTTCTTCTTCTTCTTCTTCTTCTTATTATTATATTATTATTATATTGTATTACATTATAATGTAATACAATATAATAATAATAAGAAGAAGAAAATAAGAAGAACAAAAAGAAGAAGAAGATATTACATGCAATATAAAATATATAATTATAATATCTTATTATTATATTGTATTACATTATAATCATTAGGAGAGTCTTGAAGAAGGTTGTTATTCCAATAATAATAAGATATTATAATTATATAGTTTATATTACATGTAATATATTATTATTATTATTATTATTATTATTATTATTATTATTATGTTACATTATAATCATTAGGGGAGTCTTGAAGAAGGTTGTTATTCCAATAATAATAAGATATTATAATTATATAGTTTATATTACATGTAATATATTATTATTATTATTATTATTATTATTATTATTATTATTATTATATTACATTATAATCATTAGGGGAGTCTTGAAGAAGGTTGCTATTCCAATAATAATAAGATATTATAATTATATAGTTTATATTACATGTAATATATTATTATTATTATTATTATTATTATATTACATTATAATCATTAGGGGAGTCTTGAAGAAGGTTGCTATTCCAATATTACAGTATAATGGTATAGTACAATATAGTAATATATAATACTGATATTGTGCTATGGTAATAATATAATATATTGTATTTACATATTACTTGTAAGCCGCTCTGAGCTCCTTTCGGGGTGAGAAGGGAGGCATAGAAATGCCTTAAATAACTAACTAACTAAATAAATAAGTAAGTAAATAAGGCTTGTGCGCAGTATTTGTTTCATTCGAGTATTCATTTCGTACCGTCCATTCGGAAGGCACGAAACGAAAGACCCATTTACGGATGAAATAAAAGGCAAAACGAAAGAGAAAGTTGTATGGTTTCCGTTTCTTTGTTTGGTTTTCGGGCTGTGTGGCTTTCCTCACACGACCCAGGGACCAATCAGAGCCCAAGAAAACAGTGACGTCACCAGGCTATAGGTCTCCTCTGCATATTCAGAGGGAAACCTCTCAGAATCAGTGGGTGTAAGACTGCAGCATCTATCTAGCAATATTAAATAACTACTCACAAGCCGGTCTTGCTTTGAAATGGATCTATTGCTTGTATCTCTGCAGCAAAGAAAGACACTACGGACTTTTTCCCACCACCACTTCCTTTTATACACCTTTCCTGCCCATCTCCCCCTCTTCTCAGTCTCCTCATTAGAACTCGTTGCTTCATAAGTTCCAATACAAGGCTTCCAGTGCCCTTTGCTGGCTTCAAATGATTCAGTCAGGAGGTCACCAAGGGAATTTGTGATGTCTTCATACCATCAGAAATTGACTCCTGACAGTGGGATCTTAAGCCCTGCCTTTAAGCTTGGTGGTCCAAAAAGTTTTATTTATTCAGATGAAAGAACAAAACGGCTCATTTGGAAAGGGCCCCGTTTTTGGAGGCAGCGCTCAAAAACAAAAACAGGGTCATATGAATGAAACAAACCAAAACAGATAACGATTCAATACAAATGCACAAGACTACTAGTGATTTGTTTTGTATCTGATTGTGTTTGCTTACTGTATTGTATCTGTATGTTTTGATATGCAGCTTTCCCTTTACTCTAGATTTCTGGAGGTTGTGGGAGGGGCTACAGACCACATGATTAGATCTGGGTTTGCTCAGAGCTCAGACTCAGGACGATCATACTTTACCAAAGGTGACCATCTCTAACCAGGTCATGGCTTTCCAAAAGGTGTTGGGGTTCAGCCTGCGTGTGAACCTGAACTTGATTCTCTGATTATATTTCCTGATGCTACTGAACATGTATTTCTCCCTGAGGGTAATGAAAATGTTGATTCTGAGGTCAGTGGCTTGGAAAGTGAAACTACACATTCTGATGAGAATGTTGCAGAGCCAAGCGGTGATAGCTCTCTAGAGGAGTTAACACCTGGGTTCCTTAATGAGGATAGAAAAGGACAGATTTGGAAAAACAGGAGTAAATCGCAGTCTGCGAAGGTCAAGCAGATTAAGGGGAAAGGAAGCACAGGCTTCAAAGCCTGGAGGCGTGTCACGAAACAGTTTCTTCAGTTTTAAGTGCCTCTTGCCGGGTTGTCTTGTTAGATCAGGCATCGTTTAGACTGAGGCATTACCTTGGCAGATTTCCCGTTTCCTGTGGCCTACATCCCAAGAGGCTTCTAGTGCTCCAGGTACGGTTAGTGGATTGCTAACAGGTTCCAGGTTTTTACAGTGTTGCTTTTGGAATTTTGACCTAATTCATGGATATTTTTAACTGCTGAATTTTACTGTGGCTTTTTGACTTTGCATTTTCTTCTATTTTGTAACCATTTTTCATCAATAAAAAGGGATTGTTTTTTCCCACAGTCAAGTGTGGTGGATGGTTATCTCATGGTCTCGTTTCCTGCTCTGGGTTGCAACAAAAGGTTCCTGGTTTTCCCAAATGGTAATGAATGCCATTGTCCAAAAGGTTAGGTGCCCAAAAGCAACAGTAATGGCTGCTTTTAGCGCACGACATTGGGCAGCAAATATCCCCCTGGAAGGCCGCAGCCCCTCACCGGAGAGGTCGATGCGCGCAGGGCACTCTGCCATCACCCAGCAGCCCAAGGGGGGAAGCGCCACCGGGAAGAGGCGCACAAACCGGCAGGAGGACATCACGGCCTGGCGGATCAGGATCTGCGACGCGCCCTCGTAGTGCCGGGCGGCACGGACCAGAAGCACCGGCCTGGGAGGGGCAAAGAAAGGGGAGGGGGGCAAAGGGTTTGAGGAAGTCCATAGCCAAGGTAGGGGTGGGTTAGGGGTTCAAACCACCCCCAAAGGCACCACAGCACCAATCACCTCATCAGCTGCACCACCCATTGAGTGAGACTCTCCACAAATCCAGGGATTGGTGTGGTCACTGGGGAGAAGGTGGCTATCAGAGGGCATGAAAGGCCAGGCTCTTGGGCCAACCATCATCATCATTGTTGTTGTTGTCGGGGGCATTCACAATTGGAATCACTGGGGTGTTCTTGTATATTTTCCAGGCTGTATGGCTGTGTTCCAGCAGCATTTTCTCCTGATGTTTCACCTGCATCTATGACTAATGGCATCTTCTGAGGATCCTCTTTGAAGTTGCCAGTCACAGCTGAAGGTGAAACATCAGGAGAAAATGCTGCTAGAACATAGCCATATTTATTTATTATTTATTGTATTGATATACTGCTTTTCTCACCCCTTTGGGGGACTCAAAACAATTTCCAACATAGTCACTGCAAAGTTTAATGCCGCACACATATGTGAAAAACCATAACATAAAATCAACTATTATTATTATTATTATTACTATTGTCCATTGATGCCACACTTTTTCTCTCCACAAGGTAACACCTATTATTGTTGTTGTTGTTGATGCTGTTGTTGTTATTTACACGCTGCTTGTTCTCTCCCCACGGAGACTCAAAGCGGCTGCCTCTCTAGGGGTCAACGGGGGAGCCCCCTCCTCCTTTGCCCCAAGTGAGCTCAAGGAATGGCTTTCCTCCAAACAAAGGCAACACAATGCCCCTTGCCATGCACAATGCATGCCTAGCACATGGGCTTCAAAGTCTTGGGGGTGGGGTCCCTGTGTGCCCCCTCACCCCACACCCCCCCCCCCCAAAAGTACCTGTGCAGCCAGTTCTTCCTCTCTGCGGCCAGGGCCCGGACTCCCTCCGAGACGTGTCCCTGTTCGAGGAGCCGGAAGGCGGGGGCCCAGGCGGGGTTGGCGGCCGGACCGCTGCGCAGGCCCCCCTCACCCTTGGCCAGGCAGGACAGGAGGTCAGCCACGCAGGACAGGGCACGCGCACACACGCGGGGGTCTTCGGCGCAAGAGGCCACTGCGGGGGGGGGGGGCAAAAGGGAAGGGTCAGTCCTGAAGGAGGGCTTCACCACCATCCCCAGGAGCCCCTGGTGGCACAGTGGGTTCAACCCCCCCTGTGCCGGCAGGACTGAAGACCGACAGGTCGCAGGTTTGAATCTGGGGAGAGGCAGATGAGCTCCCTCTATCAGCTCCAGCTCCTCATGGGGACATGAGAGAAGCCTCCCACAAGGATGATAAAAACATCAAATCATCCGGGCATCCCCTGGGCAACGTCCTTGCAGACGGCCAATTCTCTCACACCAGAAGAGACTTGCAGTTTCTCAAGTTGCACCTGACAGGACAAAGAACAAAACAAAACACCACCATCCCTGCCTGGTGACAGTAGTGAGGAGAGGGAAGGAAGGAAGGCAGGAAGGAGGAAGGAAGGAAGGAGAAGGGAGGAGATTGAAGAAAGGAAGGAAGGAAGAAGGAAGGAAGGAAGGAAGGGAGGAGGGGGGAGGGAGGAAGGAAGGAAGGAGGAGGAAAGGAAGGAAGAAGGAAGGAAGAAAGAAGGCAGGAAAGAAGGAAGGGGGAAAAGGAGGGAAGGAAGGAAGGAAGGAAGGAAGGAAGGAAGGGAAAGGAGTGAGGAAAGAAGGGAGGAGGGAAGAAGGAAGGAAAACAGGAAGAAAGAAGGAAGGAAGGAAGCAAGGAAGACAAGAAGGCGGGAAGGAAGGAAGGAAAGAGAGCAGGCAGGAAGGAAAGAAGGGGGGAAGGGAGGAAAACAGGAAGGTAAGAAGGAAAGAAGGAAGGAAGGAAGGAAGGAAGGAAGGAAGGGAGGGGAGGGAGGGAGGGAGGGGGAGGGAGGGAGGGAGGGAGGGAAGAAAGAAGGGAAGGGAAAGAAGGAAGGAAGGAAAAGGAAGGAAGAAAGAAGAAGGAAGGAAGGAAGGAAAGGAAAGAGGAGGGGGAGGGAGGGAGGGAGGGAGGAAGGAAGGAAGGAAGGAAGGAAGGAAGGAAGGAAGGAAGGAAGGAAAGAGAGGGGAGGGAGGGAGGGAGGGAGGGAAGGAAGGAAGGAAGGAAGGAAGGAAGGAAGGAAGGAAGGAAGGGAAGGAAGGGAGGAGGGAGGGAGGGAGGGAGGGAGGGAGGGAGGGAGGGAGGGAGGAAGGAAGGAAGGAAGGAGGAAGGAAGGAAGGAAGGAAGGAAGGAAGGAAGGAAGGAAGGAAGAGAGGAGGAGGGAGGGAGGGGCTCTGCAGGGAAAGGAAGAAGGAAGGAAGGAAGGAAGGAGGGAAGGAAGGAAGGAAGGAAGGAAGGAAGGAAGGAAGGAAGGAAAGAAGGAGGAGGGAGAGGGAGAGGGAGGGAGGGAGGGAGGGAGGAAGGAAGGAAGGAAGGAAGGAAGGAAGGAAGGAAGGAAGGAAGGAAGGAAGGAAGGAAGGAAGGAAGGAAAAGAAAGAAAGAAAGGGAGGGAGGGAGGGAGGGAAGGAAGGAAGGAAGGAAGGAAGGAAGGAAGGAAGGAAGGAAGGAAGGAAGGAAGGAAGGGAAGGGAGGGAGGGAGGGAGGGAGGGAAGAAAGAAGGTGGGAAGGAAAGAAGGAAGGAAGGGAAACAGGAAGGTAAGAAAGAAAGAAGGAAGGAAGGAAGGAAGGGAGAATGGAAGGAAAGAAAGAAAGAAGGAAGGAAAACAGGAAGGCAGAAGAAAGGAAGGGAAGAGGGAAGGGAAGGGTAAAGAGAAGGAAGGAAGGAAGAGGAAGGAAGGAAGGGAAAGGAAGAAAGGGAGGGAAGGGAAGAGGGAAGGGAAGGAGGCAGGCAGGCTCAGCCCTGGAGCAAAAGGTTCCTCTGGCCTCGCTTCCCTCTGCCGCCATCACAGAGCGCCCCCCCCCCCCACACACAGCTGAAAGCATAGTAAACCACTGTTGGAAGTGGAGGTGCCTTCATGTCATGGGGGTCTGCAGCATGACTCTCCAGTACTCTTGAGTCAGGAGTCACGGCCATCTTCCAAAGAGTCCACGTTTTGTGCCTGACCTTCAGTAGCCAATACTTTTGGGGGTTCCAGGTGAGATTGGATGGCGCACAAGACCTGAGTCAATACCGCAATGTAAATGGCGGTGGAAGGGTCCTCACCGTCGTCCAGGGCGCCCAGCATGTCCTGGTGGTGTCCCTCCAGGGTGGCCGAGCGCAGGAGTGGCCGGAGGCTGACCCCTCCGCCCTCCTGCAGGGCCTTGCGGACCTTGTGCTGCGCCTGGCGGAAGAAGAGGCCGGTCCGTGTGGTCAGCTGGGCCTGCTGGTCCAGGCTGGTGCGCAGCTCCTCCCAGGAGAGGCGCCAGGCCCCCCTCCAGCGCTGCAGCCTCCGCCCGGGCCCCGGGCCCCCCATCAGCCACAGCAGGTCCCCCAGCGAGAGGGACTCCGAGGCGTGCAGCACCGGGAAGAGCCGGGCGTTCAGCAGGCAGCA